ACACTTTTGCGCACAAAATTTAAAAATATGACCAAAATAAAAGTGAAGCGTATTGAACAATATTCCCTTTGGATACTTTTAAGCATGTTTGAATATGGTCGTGCACTGGATATAATTGATTGTCGTTTAGATCGCAAGAATATTGTTGTGTATCCTGGCAACAAATGGGTAAAGATAGGAAAGACTATTGTGCATTTCATAATAATTATTGCATATTGGGACGTTATGCCATCAGTTTATTTTGATTTCCAAACAACGCCAAGCAATTTCCTGCGCTTATTTTCGATACAGCAAATCATTTCTGTGGCTATATTCAGCACGGCACTACTTATTTTGAGAGTACGCGATAATATGGAGTTAATTAAAATGATAAATCGATTTATAAATCTAAATAAAGGAATTGCAGAAATAACAAATAAAAACACGTTATTCTGTAAGCAGTTCTTGATATTGTCTTGTTTGAAAGGTATCATCACTATATTAGGTTACGTCAATGAATTGCCCACCCTTCTAGATCTTGAATCGCTAAATTTAAACAAATGGTTTAGTATAACCATTGGAGTCTTTCTATGGCTCGGTTCTATGTTTGTATTAGATGCCTGTTATATTGGATTTTTAATAATGTCACTTATGTACGGTAACTTGGGCAGCTATTTGCAAACTATTATAACCAATATGAAAAGTATTGAATGTGGAAATAAGTGCGGAACTTCGCTTTCAAATTATCATCGTTTAAGATTGGTATGTGATTATTCAGATAAGTTGGATAGTATTGATCAAATCTACAGCAGTCTATACAGGATCACCAAGGGATTTGTTCACATTTTTCAATGGCCTGTTTTGTATTACATTTATTACAATTTTATGGTAATTTTCCTGTTGCTAAACCATAGCATTTGGCAATATATTCGCGATGGATATGTCGATATTATAAAAATATTTATGGTTATAGTAAAAATTTCAAACCTAGCATTGATTATAATGTGTGCGAATCACGTCGTTGACAAATCGGAGATTCCAAACCAACTTAATCTTGATATCGTCTGTTCAGACATTGACATGCGATGGGACATAAGTGTAAGTAAAAAGTTTCAACTATTCACAATTTTGTATATACACTAGGGTGGGTCGAAAATAAGCTTTCCTCTTGGATCAACATCTAACAGTGAAACTTCGTTAGAAGTTGATCCAACTTCTAACAGTATTTTAACGTCGAATTGAATACTGTAAAATATTATTCAATTATTTTGAGGTTAAGAACCCGCGCATCGTAAATGCATTCATATGGATAAAAGGCACTTTTTTGAGTTTTTTTCAACAAATGATGTATTTTCTTACCGTTTTGCACAACATTTTCCTTCCAAAAAGATAGAAAAACTTAAAAATGGTTAAAACATTTTGAAAAATTTTGTCCTATAAATAAGTAAAAATGATATTACAAATTATGTCGCAATAAAAGAGACACGCTTTTAATTGCATATCATAATTTTAACAATTGTAATTGTATCATTTTTCAGATTTTTTACATTTTAACATAGATGAATTTAATATGTTTATAACCCTCATTATGTAAACGATATTTTCTTTTTATCAAAATACAATGTAAAATAATTTTAATTGAATTTATCGAAGTCTATGTATGCTACTAAATCATTACAAAATAATTTTCGAGTCGTATACAAAATTGTGTTATATTCAATAGTCTCTATCTGTCATTTTCATGAAAATAAGATTTTGATGGCAAAATATCCGGCAAACTATCCCGCACCAGTGACATAAATTTTAAAGAATAAAAATATTTTTTAGCAATTTTTAAATTTCTCTATCTTAAAAAAAGAAAAATTCTGAATGCAAAACTCTCTATCTTATCCAAAAATTGCTTCAAACTCTATTATTTTGGTTAATTTCTGTTGCAAAACAAGAGTTTTTACTAATTTGGGCATGCTGAATACAAAATCTGCCAAAATATTTAAAATCGGCTTAATAGTTTTCAAGATATCGCTCATTATGATAATAATTTGATTAATTTTAACCATATATCATTGATTTTGGACCTAAACCTTATAATCTGTTGCTTTTTCAACAATTTAGTTTCTATTCATTAAATTGCATAAAATATAATATTTATTGATATTAAATCAAATAAAAAATGTATATTTCTATGGAAAACCCTCTATCTGAAGGTTTAAAATTATATCTATGTGATATAAATTTGTGAATAATTTTGCAAATAATGCAACATTTTAAATTCTTAGAATATGGTCGTAAAAATATATTGTAGAAGAAAAAATTAAAAAATCTTCACGAACTAGCGAAATAAACATTTTTTTGCTCTCCTGAAAACATGTATTATTTTAGATGGAGACTATTGAATATAGTTCCTCGTTATGTTATTGAAATCGTCTCTCAAAGATGTATGAAAAAATCATAAAACTTTAAAAAGACATTTTATCCTTCGATCCAGCTCACCAATTATTTGCAGCAGGACAAAAAAATTAAGAAACGTTATCTTAGAATGAACTAAATTTTCATTTTGGGGGGAAACATCAGCAACTTTCATATTGGTGCCACCCTATTATACATATGTATATATCATTATACCCTGCACCACTTTAGTGGGGAGGGTATAATGGGTTTGTGCTGATGTTTGTAACGCACAATAATATTGGTCCTATACCCACCTTAAAGTATACCAATCGGCTTAGAATAATTTTCTGAGTCGATTTAGCTATAACTACAGGTCACAATTTTGAAGATAATTCAATGAAATTTGGTACATGATCTTCTATTGTCCCAGGGACGAAGCCTATTGAAAATGGTTAACATCGGTCCATTATTTCACCTAGCCCCCATACAACTGACCCCCTGAATAGGGCTTGTAAACTTTGTAATCAAACTACAGGTCGCAATTTTGAAGATAATTCAATGAAATTTGGCACACGATCTTCTATGGTACCAGAGACAAAGTCTATTGAAAATGGTTAACATCGGTCCATTATTTCACCTAGCCCCATACAACTGAACCCCCGAATAGGGTTTGTAAACCTTGTAATCAAACTACACGTCGCAATTTTGAAGATAATTCAATAAAATTTGGCACACGATCTTCTATGGTACCAGAGACGAAGCCTGTTGAAAATGGTTAACATCGGTCCATTATTTCACCTAGCCCCCATACAACTGAACCGGACTAATAGGGCTTTTAAGTTCATATTTATGTTTAATATACTCGTATCTCGACAAAAAGCTGCAAAACCAAGTTCTATACTAGCCTTGATGACCCTCATAAATTTTTTGAATATAGGGTCTCATTTGACCATAGCCCCTATTCAAAGTCCCCTTCAAAATTCGACTTAAATGTTCACAATTTTATTCAACAATAAGTATATCTGAGGCAAGGTAAAATTCAACCTAAATGCATTACTATGAAAACTAAATCACATTTTTTTGTAACAGGTGTAGGGTATTATATGGTCGTCCTCGCCCGACTATAATTTCTTACTTGTTTTTCTTTGAAAACATTTGTTTTTTACAATGATCTTGAATTCATATTTAAATTGTTGTTAATATCAGAGATGGGGGTAGTGCACTATTTTTTTAGTTAAATCAATATTTCACTAGCACTAAATATTATTTCAAAAAATATATTTTTCACTAATTTTCAGCAGCTTAGTGATAGTGAAGCTTATATTTTTTGCACTAATATTTTTTAGTGATAATTTTATTTTTTTTAACTATAACTCAATTGAGTGGTAGTGTAGAAAAAAGCACTACACTCAAATAGTTAAAAATTTGAACAGTAACTAACAAAAGGCTGCAATAATTTTCTTTGCACTAATTTTTTTAAAATGAAAATTAAAGAATTTGTAAGACAATAAATGATTAAATTTTTGTAAAGATACATCTATTAAAATAGAAAATACAGATTTGGATAGCCAGTTGCAAAAATGATGTGGTTACTGGATATTTTTTAAGCAATAGCTTGGAAATGTTGTAAATAATGAAAGCTTTATTCATTAATAATATTCGTCCAATGAGTTTTTTGTTGACTTGAACCATTTCTAGACTGACCTATTAACTTAAACTTTCAATTGAGTGAAACATTTCTCCGTAGAAAAAAAAATAGTGCAGGAATATTTTTTGAACTAATAATTTAGTGTAGAAAAAATTATTTCACTAGGCTGTAAAAACAAATATTTTAACTATTTTTAAAATATTTTTAGTTAAAAATTTTAAATATCACTATCACTATTATTGAGTGAGGCTTATATTTTTCAATTCATCACTAAACTTAAACAAAAGTAGTGAATAATTTTGAACTACCACTAATTATTAGTGATAGTTAAAAATTTGTGCACTACCCCCATCTCTGATTAATATAAACATTAGTTTAATTTTCGAAATTCGAAAAAAATTTGTTGACGTATATAAATAAGTATTTCCATGAGAATGTCTACCTAGGCTGAACAAATAAAAACCCTTGTGATACATGGTCTTCAATCATACTAAAGACGAAGTGAGTTGAAAATATTAAAAATAGCTTCATTATTTCACTTAGATCCCATACAATCGGACACCTAAATAACGCTTTAGAGCCCATAATTTCGTTAAAAATACTAGTATTTCTACAGAAATCGGCAGATCTATAATTTAGCAAAAATTGTCAAAAGGAAATCAGAAAGATATTTCTTCATTCTTTCCAAATCGAAAGGCATCGATTTTTAATGTTGGGTCACTTGACACGAAATTCACCATATATCAATAAATTGATAAAGTATGTTAATCGGTCAATCTGCACGATAGTATTTTCTTACATCTATTGTATTTATTTAAGCGATTGTATATACAGTGGTGGAAAAATTAATAGAAACGATTTTATTTTGTGGTGAAAACAAAATCTTCTCAAAAATAGCCATTAGAATTTGATGATTAGTATCTATCTTAAATAAAAGGTATTTTTACTCCATCGTATTATTGGTATTAATAAAATTTGTCATTGGAAGAAATAATAGAAACGATTCATAGTATTGTAAAGGGACATAAGCTAAGATATCATAAGAGGTGATTTTGTATTTTATGTATTTTGAAATTTGTAATTATAAATAAAGTTCTGAATATAAAAATATACATATGTACTTTTTACTTTGTTTTTTATGATAAAGATCGTTTATTACAGCTTAATTTAGCGTATGGTTCCTGACAGCTGATTCAGGAGTTTCACATTAAAAATATCTTAAAAAAGGCGACCAGATTTTGGAAATGAAAATAGATGACATAAAGAAAAGAGTAAAACAATTTTTTTGAGTTAATTTTTTTTACATACTTATGTATTTTACAGAAAAAGATTATGACAATTTTCATGCATTTGGTTTGTTAAAATATAAACAAACCAAACTTTTAAGAAAATTACGTATTTAATTCCCATGTGAAAACTTTTGAACATTTGAGTAATTTTGTTTTAAAAATTAAGATGACATAATATGGAAATTGATGACAGAAAGAGGACACAAATTTTAAAGATGACAGCCAGTTAAAATAGATTATTGTCCTCTCAAATAGTAAAAGAAATTACATTGTTAAATTTTATAAAACAATTAGTTTTTGAGATTTCCAGCCGAAAATGTTTTAGATTCACTTATAGATAATGGCAATCCACCGATTTTTGGGCTAAATTCCGAGCAATATTTCAACTTTTTGCAATTCAACCTGGTCCAGGAGGTTAAGTTTTATTTGTTCTTATTTTCTCCTCATTTTCGTACGCCAATACATTAAACACGAGCTGTCGAAGAAAAGTGTTGTATGTGTTTGGACCTATATATACGTTTTTCAAACAATCCTCAGCAAAAAAAGTGTGGAAAAAGATGTAGAATTTTCATTACAACTAGTAACACGAAGTGCTTAAAATTCAAATGAAAAACCTATGAATTTTACATTAGCGTGTCATTGGAGGGATGTTGTTAATTTTTGACAACTTTGAACTACATCTAATCTTATCTTTAGAAGCTGTAAAAATCGGATAATTGTATGTCAAAAATAAACCACATTCATTCAATGAAACGCTTATGTAAATTTCATTGGTTTTTCATCAAAATTTGAAGTACTTCGAATATGTTGTTTGTAGTGACTTTTCTACATCTCTTTCCTCATTTTTAACTGTGTTTTCATTTGTAAGGATATGTTTTGTTTATAAAAACGAAAAGTATGCAATCGCATTTTTAGATGTGATTAAGATGTCGTTTGTAAAGTATGACAAAATAATGGGTAACATCGTCCAATATTCGACCTAGCCCCCATACAGCTGAACCCCCAAATAGAGCTTTTAAGTTCATAATTATGTTCAATATACTCTTATCTCGACAAAACGATACAAAACCATGTTCTATAGTAGCCTTCGTGACCCTAATAAAATTTTTGATGGTAAGGCCTCATTGTTTTATGATGGTTCCCAAAATATTTCCAGTCTATCGACGGCCGTTCGTGAGCTGGACCGGTTACAAAAAACCCCTTTTAAGTTATTTTTTTAAATTTTACAGTTTTTTCTTAAACAAAATATACAATATGTGGTATAATTTGAAATGTTTTTTGAAGCCACGTCTAGTGGTGCTCAAAATTTGCAAAATTGTGCATACATTTTATTTTTATTAGTGAAAAACCTAACAATTTTAAATATTTTGGAATAAGACAATTATGAGTAGACGGTTATTTATGACTAATACATCATTGGACGCGGCTTTAAAACCCCTTTCAAACGATACCCCATATCGAATATATTGTTTCAAAAAAAAACTAAAATTTGAAAAAAATAATTCCAAAATACCTTTTTTCAATTTGGTCCAGCTCACGAACGGTCATCACTAGACTTAAAATATTTTGGGAATCATCATAAAACAAAGCAAGGTAAATTTTGAGAGGGGTAACAAAAACACGTTTTTGCTTTCCATACAGAGTGAGTCGGTCTAATATGTATATACTTTATAGGGTCAAAAATTATATTGTGGAAATTACAAACGGAATGACAAACTTGTATACATATAACCCTTCTCACTAAGGTGAAGGGTATAAAAATGCAATTTTTAAAGAACAAAATTTGCAAAGTACAGTTAAAATTTTTAATTTATTGTAATCCGTTTAGGAGTTATGATGTTTACTTGTGGGTTAAAAATATCCCATCAAACAATGGTTTTTTTCATCATCACCTCCAAATTTAATAAAACTCCGTCAAAAAAATGTTGGCGCTTATAACTTTCGTGGTTTAAAATCTGAAAATTTAAAATACCATCTAAAAATTATTTATAAATTTTTTTTATAAAAATTTTTTTTTAAAAAAACTCCCTTTTTTTGTTCAAAAGAAAGCTTAGACAATTTCCTTAAGGGGTTTATAGTCCCATAATGGGATGCGAGTGGGATATCTATCAAAAAAAAATTATTTTTTAACATAAGAATAAGATTTTTCAATATATGCCACTTAATTCTCTTCTATTATTTCAAAGTGGAAGTTTTTGTTGCCTTTTTTTGCTCAATAGAAAGCTTACACCATTACCTTTAAGAGCTTTGTGATTCTACTATCCAAAAATACTAACCTTGGTGCAAATTTCATCAAAATCGGAAGACATCGATTTTTAAACCTTCGTCACTTGACACGAAATGACCTATATGTATATTTGGCTTCGTTTTAATTTTTAAGGCGAAACTGCAAAATTGATTGGAAATCATGCTTTTATAGGAAAAATCAATAAGAATGCGAAATATTCCGGGATATCGGAATATTTCAGAATGCTGGGATTGTAATTTTCAAAACACCTATGTATAGGGATTTCTGAAAACAAGTCCCAATTAGCTAAATAATACAAAACCATATCTAAACATGATTTATTTTAGATTTATGTTTTTCTTCTTTTACCAGGTGGAAAGATTTCTCAGCCAGCGTAAAGCAGAAAATCTGGAAATTAATATTTTAGGTTTTTTTACTCTGAATAATCAATTTATACTTTTAATATTATCTGCGATCATTTCCTATTTGTTCCTGATAATACAATTCGGAATGACTGGTGGATTATAAATAAAATAAACATAACAGTTTAACTTTTTGTGCATTTTTTATTTATTGAATGAATATATATGTACATTAGAGGACACCAAAAAATATCGATTTTGCTCAGATGGGCCTTATTATCTTCATTAGTGTCTAAAACATACTGGTGTTAAATTTTAGTCAAATCGGATAACGATAACCCATGCCGGAAATCTATTGAAAAGTGTAAAATTGGGTAAATAATAGGACTTTCTTCTAGGTTTCTTTAAAAATTGTGCCATTACAATTAATTTTTCTTAACATTTCGTCCAAATCATCTAGAGAAATTTATCTATCTAACGAGGTATAAAACATATATCGAAAATAAAGTTATTGACAATTTCCCCAGCCATTTAGGTATTAAAAAAATCATGCACTTTTGCATTGTTTTGTCTTCGTTTTGCATGTAGAAGTGATGCAAACAAAAATATCTAGACAAAAAAACGAGAAAATGCCAAATCGGGTTCCCTTTGTCCGATTTGGCTAAAATCCAGTTTACACTATTGAACAAAATAAGACCCATCTGAGCAAAATCGATATTTTTGGACACCTCTAATGTACATAGGGTAGAAGGGGGACCATACGCCACTTTTTTTTGAGGCGGCCTCAAATTAAAACCACAATACATATTCTTTATTATTTTCTTGGTTCGGATACTTAGATATGTTGGCTTTAGTTTTATCCCTTTCAATCTTTCCTAAGTCATCCTAATGTACATATTTTTTTTTTTTTTTTTTAACTTTTCTGAGCGTATTTACCCCATCCATGGGGTAAATACGCTAAGGGGATGGGGCAGATTTGTCATTAGTAAAATTAACCAAAAAATTTTAAAAATAAAAACTTATTTCGCTGTTTTATATTTTAATTCATTTAACAAAGTATAATAAACCAGATATTTATTGTTTATTTCACATAACTTAACAAAAAAAAAAAAAAAATAAATAAATAAAACAAATTATTATTGATTTTTTCTATATTTTAACCAAATTTTGTTCTACATCACAAGCATTACATATATTTGGCGAATGTGCCCCACGGGCTGTTCTGGGGTTTAGTTTCAATTTTTTCGGGCTTCAGATTATATTATCGAAAAAATTATTATGTCTTATTTTTCACTATTATTGACGTTCTATCACTGAACAATAACAGTTCAAACCAAACTCTCTTTATGAACGGTTGCGTCCATTAAAGCGCTTAGCAATTCAAAAAAAAAAAAAAAAACAAGAATTAACAGTTACAAAAGTGATATTATATTTTGTTTTGATTATTGCCTACTCTCGTTCTCGCTTGAGCTCGCACACGTGTAGTCAATTACAAAGCGAATAAAAGGGAATACAATTAGTGATGGCCCGCGGGGCCAAATCCTCATCTAAGAAGAAAAAATCATTTCCTAAGAAAATCATGATTAACACTCATAGACCTGTGGCCTATAACCCAAATATCGCATCATGTTCAAGAAACAGATTTAGTCTATTAGCCGGTATGAACGATATGGAAGTTCTTCCCGAATCAAATATAAATGAAGTCAAAAAAACTAAGCCACCCCCTATTGTTGTGGAGGCAGACAAACCCTTTACAGAGATCCAAAATCTTTTGGGCAAAGATTGTATGTACAAACGTACTTCCATTGGTACTAAGATTTTTCCTCCTAGTATTGAAGTATACGAATGTTGTAAGCAAATATTAAGGGAAAATCAAATAGAATTTCACTCTTACAATCCGAAGGAAAATAGGCTCTACACAACGTTTCTTTACGGTTTACCCCAAATAAAAACAGATGACATCATGGCAGAACTAAAAAGTTATAATCTTATACCCTCGTCAGTGACAGAGGTTAACACAAAGTTCAGTTCATCGAACAACGCTGTTTACAAAGTACAGTTCACTAGGAAAACTTTCAATCCTGAATCATTAAAAAAGATTAGAACAATATCTAATGTAATAATTAGTTGGAAAAAGTACAAACCAAAAAATGATAAACCAACCCAATGTTGGAACTGCCTTATGTATGGACATGGTGGTGAACATTGTTTTAGACGTCCAGCCTGCATGATTTGTGCCAACGATCATCATACAAAAGATTGTCCTTATAACTCAAATGACAAAAGTCCTGCTGCCTTTTCATGTTTCAACTGTAAAAAATATGGAAAAGAACGAATTGATCACTCTGCGAATGACATTAATTGTCCCCTACGATCATTATATCTTGAGACAAGGGCTAGAGCAACCTCTAAAAGCTCTCAACGAAACAACAGGAGAAATCAAAGTGACACATTTCATTACAACAATGCTGACTTCCCAAATATAGTTTCAAATACAGTTAACAATAATAAAAATAACAACGTTTTTCATAATAAACCAACCTATGCTAATCAGCTGAAATCAAATAATGACATTTTTAGTATTGATGAATTATTCGATATATTCTCAAAAACAATGGAAGACTTAAGTAGATGTACTTCCAAAGTGCAACAAATTCAGGTCATAATGTCAATGGTTAAATATGCCTATGGATTACGTTAATATAAATGAATTCAAAATACTTCACTGGAATGCCAATGGCATCTCAAATTATTCCAAGTTTGAGTTTCTACTAGAAAAAGAAAAAATTAAAGTTGCTTCTGTTAACGAAACCTTTTTTAATGAAACGAGTAAACCATATTTCAAAAATTATTATATTTATCGAAATGACAGAACCGACGGATCAAGGGGAGGAGGAGTTGCTCTCATTATCCATAAACATATTAACCACAAAAATATTTCTGTGGATAAAACTAAATCAATAGAAAATATTTCAGTTGAAATATTGATAAATAACAGACCTATGAAAATAATAGCAGCATATTCAGCCCATTATAACCATAATTTTAAACATGATATCCTTAAATTAACTTCGCCAAGCAAAGATTACATACTACTTGGAGATTTAAACGCCAAGCATACCTCGTGGAACTGTATAAGAAATAACACCGCTGGTAACGTGCTCAGTCAATTACAACATACATGCAACTTCTTCGTTTATTATCCAAATGATCCAACCTACTACCCTCATCAACACGGACGTGCTCCGTCTACAATAGATTTAGTCTTAAGCAACACCACATTAAATTTGAACCTAGAAGTACTAGAATATGAGATTCCATCAGACCATCGCCCGATTGTCTGCTCTATTAGTTTAACAACTGTAAATACGGTAGATTTAAGCTATTATAACTATAAATTAACCAATTGGAATTCCTTTCAAAACTATATAGATAACAAAATAGTTTCTAACACTAATATATATAATACTAAAACAATTATCGATAATGAATTAAGTACTTTAAGCAAGATCATTCTGGAAGCTAGAGACATATCTACTCCTAAATTATATCCTTCAGACAAAGTTACATTACCTGATAAAGTGATTAAATATATAAAAGTAAGAAGAACATTTAATAGGAAATTTCATAGATCGACTAACTTATTTGAAGCTAATTTCTACAAACAATATTCAAGGTTTCTGAGCAAGTTAATTGATGAGAATATTAATACTGAAAGAAATAGGAAATGGTCAGCACTTTTATCCAAATTGAAGCCAGGTGACAAATCATTTTGGAGAATAAGTAGAAACCTACGAGCTAAAGGTCAGACAAAAATCCCCCATTTGAATGTAGGAATTACTAAAATTATTTCTGACAGCGGGAAGGCTGAAGTTCTCGCCAATAGATTTGTTCAGGCTAATAACCTCACAGCACATTTCAGTCATTCCTTTGACAAGAAGGTTGATTCTTTAGTAGACAACTTTCGAAATCAATACACAGTTTCTGATGATTGCAGATATACATCTCTCTGTGAAATGATTAACTTAATTTCATCACTCAAATCATCTAAATCCCCCGGATTTGACAACATATCGAATCTTCTATTGAAAAAACTTCCCTTAAATGCTATAAAACTACTGGTTACAATATTTAATGGTTGTATTAAACTTAATTATTTTCCCAGTATATTTAAAACAGCAAAGATAATTCCCATTCATAAACCCAACAAACCAAAAAATGATCCTGGCAGCTATAGACCAATTAGTTTGCTGAGCAATTTAGGTAAGCTTTTAGAGAAAATTGTACATTCCCGACTTAATCAATTCATTGAGGAAAATTCTATTCTTTCCAAATCACAATTCGGTTTTAGGAAAGAGCACAGTACAACACACCAGATAAACAGAATTAAAAATAAAATTATTAACAACATTACCACCAAACGGTCCACTGGTATGATACTACTAGATATAGAAAAGGCCTTTGACACAGTCTGGCATAAAGGCCTTTTATATAAACTACTAGAAGCTAATGTACCAAAATATTTGTGTGGATTAATTGACAGTTTTTTAGATAGCAGAAACTTTTGTGTTGCTCTAAATGGAGTAAATTCCGCACTTAAAGGAATAACTAATGGTTTACCACAGGGTTCCGTATTATCCCCAATACTCTACTCAATCTATACTTCGGATTTTACAGCACCAAAAGATTTAGAAACAGCTTACTATGCAGATGATACTGCTTTGATCTCATCGAGCAAACTTACCAGCGCATTGCTTAGGAAAATGGAAAAGGGACTCTCAGCTTGCACTAAATATTTCCATAAATGGAGAATTAAAATAAACCCAAATAAAACTCAAGCTATAATATTTCCATATAACAAATCTCCTAAAAGAATCCCAAGAAGACAAATATCCATAGGGAATGAGCACATCCCTATAGATAATTGCGTTAAATATCTAGGTGTGATCTTAGATAAAAAGTTAATTTTTAGAGAACACATTGAACAGGCGTGTCAAAAAGCTATCAAAGCTATAAGATCGTTATGGCCCCTTCTGAATAAACACTCTTATTTGAATGCCAAAAATAAAAATCTACTTTATAAAAGTATTATAAGACCTATTTTAACTTATGCTAGCCCTGTTTGGTATACGGCTGCAAATTATCATCTAAAACGATTGCAAATTATTCAAAATAAATGTTTAAAAATAATAAATAACAAAAACTGGAAATATCCAACTAACATTCTACATCAGGAAACTAAATATGAAAAAATATTTGATTTTATAACAAGACTAAATAATAAATATTTCGAAAAAGTTGAAAATTCCTCGTATCCACTGATTCGAGAATGTAGGCCACTTATCTGAATTAATATTGAATCATCAAACTGAAAATCGTAATTTTATGAAAGACTATTTTTAAAAATAGCCTATTCATAAAACTACATATTTTCTGTACATGTTTGACTTTCTTTTCCATTCAAATAAAGGTTTTCTCCCTGTTTTTGCCTTTAAATGTATCAAATATCCAAAAATTATTTATTTATTATAATTCCATTATGTTATTTGCTGTAATATCTAATTGATAAAATCTCAAAATTTTGTATATATTGTAAATAAACCAATTAATAAAGGATGAATAAAAAATCAAATCAAAAATCAATCAAAAATCACTGAACAATATATTTTTTCAATCACAAACACTAAAAAAGTTAGCACAAAAAATTCACACAGTGAAATATTTTCACAGCCCTTTGAAAAACAATTAATCTCGTCTGCCTCCCATCATATATAAAGTTAATCTTTCAAACTTTCAGGGATGATAGATAATCGATAAACGAAAACAAAATTCGATAATGCGATAAAATCGATTACTCGGTTTTCAAGTTATTCGCTATTGGCAGATGTGCCCCTATGGCATATGATCCCCCTTCTACCCTACATATTTTAAATATGTATGAATAACCATATTTGGCCGTAATATGTCTGGAACAGTTTCGTATCGTTATAGTATCCGTTTAACGGTATACTTATTCAGTACACCCTGGCTGCTGTGATAAAATTCGTTTTTTATATGTGCTGCACGTAATAAAAACCGCCCTAGGGTAGCGCAGCTATAGCAGCCCATAAGAATTATCCAGTGTGTAAGCCGCAGCAAAAGCAATGAATTTGCAGAGCAATTTGAATGAATATACATATTTCTTTAACAATTTGTGAAAATGTTTCTATGTGGTTTTAATAAATGTCAAAATCTTTTCATATGTACATATGTGATTTGACATTCTGGGAACCCAAAGACTTCTCTATGCTACTATTTTGAATTCGACGTATTGTGTGAACCGGCACTAACAGGAGCATACTTTTAGGATAAAAAAAATTATTAAATTTTTTTTGGATTAGTCGTTAAATCGCTAAATTATCGCCACTGTTTATTTACGTTCCACATTTCATGGGCGTTGCTACATCTATAAATGTATTCATTCGCTAAAAAAGTCAATGTTACACGAAAGTAGTATTTTATTTGGTGCTCGAAGAGAGTAATTGTGTATTTATTGTTCACGGTCGAACATTTTTTGTGTAAACAAATCAAGTAAAAAATGTTTATATGTTAAAAAAAAACAGCAACAAATTCAAAAAATTAGTTAGTGAAAATAGTAATGGATGTATGGAAATTGCCAACTGAAGTACATTTTATTTATTAGAAGATAAAATAAAAAGGTGATTAATCAATTTTTAATTTAGGGTGGAGAACTGAAGAGTTGGATATTTGCGCGAGAGCGCAATGTATGTGGTGGTGATGTCAAGGAATTTTCATTAAAAATTTATCTTTAATAATTTTTGTGGCGAAAAACACAACGACAAGAATTCATATTAAAAGTCTGATCATGGTCACATTGACATTACGACCCATGCACATCCAAGTGGTAATTAAATATCAAGGACCCGTTACCGCCCTTCACGAAGTTGATTTACTTCACAGCTTGTGTGTCCCATTTGATTCTTAACATTATTTGTTTAAATATTTGCATATGTATGTATGTGGATTGATTAATTTATACTATTTTAATTATTTAGATATATTGAAGTAATTTCTACATTAACATAATACATACATTCTACGTTACATAGTAATAATTTGTTAAAATGTCATAACATTTTTTGATAAACAATAGCGAATCCGCCCATATTTTCTGTGACTTCTTTAGAAAGATAAGAAAATTTGTGTTGTACAGATGATGAACGACAGCTACTTCATAAATCTACACAGTGTGTATGTACATATGTAGATATGGATATACATAAGAACATGCATTCATATAGTAGGTAAATTTATGAATGTGATTTCAAATTGCACTAAATTTTTATTTTTTTTTTTTTTTTGTTTAAATTAGTTTTTATTTTACTATTTTAAATACCCACAAAAATTAACTTTTCCTTTCTCTTATCAATTTCTTGTTTGAAAATAAAAGGCAAGTGTTTCTATGATAAAGATAATATGTTGCTAAAAAAGATAATATAGGTATTGGAATAAATAGCTAACTATCGCAACTTGTACTCCAATTTTGTTTTTCGTTTTGTTAGAAGATATATTGCCTTACCACTACTGCAGTTAAATATTCATTTATGTTGCTGGTGTAGAAATTAACTTTAATATGTTTACATATTACGGGTTAGGGATCATAAGTATACCTACATACATACATATGTATATGAATTTGTTTTAAATTTTATAGGTTTTAGATTTGATAGATTTTCGAGACAAATTGCCCTATATGCTACATCGCCAAGAATTATTAAATTAATTAAATTAAAATTTTCTAAATCGTTTAGAATTCTTAAAAAATATTTTCCAAAATTGCATATCGTCATATGAAATCCAAAAAGCCCTAAGTTACAATGAACAAATTTTTTAGGAGAAGCAAAAAACCTAAAATGATAAATAATCCAAAAATGTTCAACATTTTCTCAAGTTAAGCTTATTTTTTATTGACAAATTAGTATTTTAAGACAAATTCGCGGTTTTTGTTTTAATTACCTTAAGCCCTTTAGAATTTGTTTTTTTGTGAAACCCAAAAGGGCGTAAGTTACATTAAGAAATAGTAAGTTCAACATTTTTAACTAAATTAAAATTGGGTTTTGTTGGACAAATAGGCCGAAACATGGAAAGTATAAGACTTCTTTGTTTTCATAAAGATTTTCGGAAATTCGAATTTTTCTTCGAAAAAATTCTAAAAATTCTAAAAAATCTATAAATCGCAAGGTTTCGCTAAAAGTGCCATTTTTGTTTTATTTGATGCCAACTTATAACATTTTACAATTTCGAAGTTAAAAATTCAAAAGAATTTTAAAATTTTAATGAATTTTAAAATATTTTTGGAACATAATCTCTTGATTTCGATGATAGCGACGTTGATTTTGATTGTAGGAGTGTAAAATTTAGCAGGAACATGTATTTTAATACGGTGCATCATAATCAATCAAAAAGTCAATTTTGATTTTTTTGTAACTTAGGGCCTTTTGGATTTCATATGCCGAAATGGACATTTCCATCGCGACGAACGTGACCGTTGCACTGTGGGTACGATGGCACCTAAAGTGGTGATTAATTTTAGAGATCTGTTATTTCAATATGCATACATAGGTATTTAAGATATTCTTTCAAATCATTAAAAATACATTAAAAGGCATCTTTTTACAAAATAAAATTGTAATAAACATTTGTTAATTTAATTTTTATTTTACGTAAATTCTGACATGTTTTTCAATTTTCGTTGTAGTTTTAAAACGAAAAGCGATATTTTTTATAAAATAAAATTGCTTCGATATTGTGAAACAGGCAGTTAGTTTAATTGTTTAAAATTTGTCCAATAATGTATTTATATTACTCTATGCGACAAAAATAAATGCCTGAGAAGTGATACAATTTTTCTGAAAGGCGGTTCGGAGTACAACAAGAATCAGTTTTAAAATTTGCCAAACACATCCAAAAATATTTTGAATATATCTCCCAAAATTAGGAAGCACCTGTTTTGTGCTTTTTTTAAATTCAGCCCTTTTTGGGTGTAAAAGGGAGAAAACTGCACTTTTGGTACTTTTTTAGCACATTAAGAAAACTTTTTCTTTTGAAGTATTTTTTTATTGAAGTATTCCCATTAAATTACGGACTAACTCTGTAATATTTACTGAAACAAAATGTTTGAAAGCACAATTTTTCTGGAACAAATGAATGCAGATTTGAATCGTTCGAGTTTTATCTGTCATATATAGATTTAAATACGGAACATTTTGTAAACTTAATTCTCAAAAAAGTATTGTAAGCGCTTTTAACGCTTTTAAATAATCACGACACGTCTTTTCTTTTTGAATACAAGTTTATTAATGACGCTTTTTCACAGCATTCATATTATACTCTGATCTAGCTTATTATCTAGTTTATAATCTAGGTTATTATATATATTCATAATATAAAAGAAGAAAAGAGATAGACATATATACAATCAATATTCTAGAAGAATTATATGTACAAATAATAACCGTTATCCTGAAATACATAAAACGTTCTGGAAAAACATATATAATACATATATACGAACTTAAATAAATGAAGCGGTACACTACCAACAAAACATAATAAGGCTACATATACATACATTACTACAATTCGGCCATCCTGATTATGAGATCCCCTGATCTCTCATAGTTTACATGACCTTTCGCGTCCTCCAAACCATGGGCGTATATTAGAGACAGCCCAAACGCCTTTGTAAGGTGTGCGGGACTGTTGAAACCCGTCAACATCCTCAATCAAATAACGATCGTTCCTCAGTACTTTAGAAATCTTATAAGGACCCTTAAACTTTGGAATCAATTTCCGGGTTATTCCAGCTGTGGAATCAAAATTTCTCACCAAAACGTAGTCACCTGCTCTATAGACCCTTGGTTCTCTTCTCCGTTTGTTAAAATACTTTTCATTATACTCCTGTACTTTTTCCTGTCTTTCAAATGCCTTCGACCTGATCTCATCGTGTTCATTCCTGGAATACATATTAGCATCCTCAAGACACTCCCTTAACAGATCGACAACCTTCCCTTTCTGATTCGTACCAAACAACATGACACTGGGATGCTCCCCAATAGACCTGTGAATAGTATTGTTCAAAGTGTATTCAACCTGATCAACCACATGATCCCAAAATATTCCCTTTTCAGCATAAACCAATTTCGCTAACATTGGACCTATCGACCTGTTGACCCTTTCAACCTGACCGTTTGCCTGCGGTGAACCTGTAGCCACCAAAGTATGGACAATATTATTCTCCCTTAAAAACTCTGCAAAGTCCTTCGAAGTAAAACAGGTTCCCCGATCACTTATCACGCACCTCGGTCGACTATATGACCTAAAATAATCTTTCAGTGCTATAATGACCTCCTTTGTACTAGTTGTCTTCGCAGGGTATAAACGTACAAATTTTGTGCATGAATCTATAACGACTAAGATGTGTCTCAATGTCCTACCATTATCAACAGGCCCATAGTGGTCTATATGTATTACATCAAACGGCTTATTCGACTTTGGAATGCTATGCAGGTATCCTTCCTCTTTGCCGTGTTTCGACGAATATACCATGCAATTCATACAATTCTCTATGTGTTTAGAAGCCTTACATCTTATCTTTGGAAACCAATAACTTTTCAGAATTAGATCGGTCATCTTATCAATGCCAACGTGCCCCATTTCGTCATGATATTTGTACAAAATATGGTCCTCCATGTCCTCGGGAACGTAAAATAATAAATTACCATCCTTTGTCTTCCTATATAGAACACCATTTCTCATCTCGTACATACTATGTTCACTAACCTGAAGTGCTTCCCTCAAGTCTCCTATCTTCGGATCCCTATTCTGACAAATTACCAAGTTTTCCTCGAAAGTGTTGGACTCCACTATCATTATATTAGTACACCTACTTAGCGCGTCCACGTGTTGCATCCTCTTTCCCGAACGATGTTCCAGCTCGTACTCATAATTCTGGAGCTCCAGAGCCCAACGTGCTATCCTTGGGTTCAGTTCCTTTCTATTCAATGTCATGGCGAGAGAGTTACAGTCAGTGACAATCTTAAATTTCCTACCCTGAAGATAAATACGAAATCTCTTTAATGCATAAATTATCGCCAGCGTCTCCAGCTCAAAACTATGATATTTCGACTCTGTGTCCGTCGTCCTTTTAGAGAAATAAAAAATTGGATGGAACTTGCCATCCTCCTTTTTCTGCAGTAGCACTGCTCCAAAACCGATTGAACTGGCATCACAATGTAGCTCAGTATCACTGTTCGGGTCGTATAGTGCAAGCACTGGCGATTCTGTTAACTTCCTCTTAAGCAGCTCAAAAGCATTCAATTCCCTCTCCCCAAAGACAAATTTCCTATCCTTTTTCGTAAGATCATATAAAGGTTTCGCTATCATAGAAAAATCCTTCACAAACCGTCGAAAATATGAACAAAGTCCTAAAAAACTTTGTACTGAGTGTTGTTTATCCGGAACTGGAAAGTCCTGTATAGCCTTCACACCCTTATCATCAGCCCTTATACCACTGCCATCTATTGTATATCCTAAGTACTTGACCGAAGTCTGCAAAAATTCACATTTATCATTTCTCAATTCCAAATTATTCTCAACTAATCTTGTAAAAACTTCTTTCAAAATCTCCAGGTGCTCT